ACAGCCAGCTTCTCTGTGGTGGGGGAACAGAGAATGTGCAGTGTCTCTGCTCCTTAGCCATGCTGCACTTTGCTGACTCCCTTTGTGTCTCCTCCCAAAACAGATCCTTCGGCCTGATGAACACATAGCAAAGCAGCGCTACCTCAGTGGCAGGAATGTGCAAACTAGGGGCTCTGCAGAGTGGTTGTCCTTCGATGTCACAGAGACAGTTCGCGAGTGGCTCCTGCGCAGAGGTAGGGGTCTTGCTGTTCCAGGAGGGCCTGGGTGGAGGGTCTGGTTCCCTCAGATAATGTTCAGAGAAGAACCTCCTCTTCTTCTAGCAAAGGGTAATTCTCTCAGTCTAGTCTAAAGCAGTGATAGAAATGTAGCCGTGTTAGTCTGGTGTAGCTGAAACAAAAAACAGGACTATGTAGCACTTTAAAGACTAACAAGATGGTTTATTAGATGATGAGCTTTCGTGGGCCAGACCCACTTCCTCAGATCAAATAGTGGAAGAAAATAGTCACAACCATATATACCAAAGGATACAATTAAAAAAAATGAACACATATGAAAAGGACAAATAACATTTCAGAACAGAAGGGGGATGCGGGGTGGGGAGGTAAATGTCTGTGAAACTGAGGAAGTGGGTCTGGCCCACGAAAGCTCATCACCTAATAAACCATCTTGTTAGTCTTTAAAGTGCTACATAGTTCTGTTTTTTTTTTATCTAAAGCAGTGAGGTTTCAGCAAAAGCAGTTCTGCCCAGTTTGTGATGAGACTGCTCACAAAGAGCTGCCCTGGTGTGCTTCTCCTTGCTCCTTCAGCTGCTTATCCCTCCCTGCAGTTTCCTGTCTGTACAGGACATGAGAACTGTGTGAGGGTTCCCCCTTTTCAAAAGGTTGACCTCCCTTAGAACTGCAAACAATGTGGGACCAAGAATCCAGAGGTAAAGATGAGGGACTACCAGAGGCTTCTAGTGTAATTCATTTGTCTGGCACGTATGGCTGTGGCTGAGAACATAGCAATAGTTTTGCCTCTTGCTGCATCATTCAGCAGAGCCAGCACACAGTGCTCCTCATAGCTGAACACAGGTACCCTGAGTCACAGATGAATTATCCTCACAGCTGGAACCTGGGTGTCACTAAAAGCTGGAATGCAGGCACTTGGCATGAAGCCAGTCTCAGGAAGAATAAGCCATGAGTTTGTTGGCTCCTATTTTAAAGCAGTCCAACTTCTGTCCTTAATGGCCTGAGTTCAATGCCTGAATCACTTAGCTTTGGGCAGTCATGCTGGCTGATACTGTGCAATGAAAGGTGTCACAATGTTGTGGATGGTGCTTACAGATCAAGGTGACGGGCACTTTAGAAATACCTTAGATAGTCAGGAAGAATAAGCCATGAGTTTGTTGGCTCCTATTTTAAAGCAGTCCAACTTCTGTCCTTAATGGCCTGAGTTCAATGCCTGAATCACTTAGCTTTGGGCAGTCATGCTGGCTGATACTGTGCAATGAAAGGTGTCACAATGTTGTGGATGGTGCTTACAGATCAAGGTGACGGGCACTTTAGAAATACCTTAGATAGCCATTTCCATTCACCCAAAGATATAGACTAGGGGCTTCTGTAAGAACTTTGTGTCCCTCTCTTGTATGGCAGGTCTAAGGAAGTTCTTCATAATACAAAGAAACATGTAACCTAAGGAAAATCTATGTGACTTAGATGAAAATTCAAGAGAAACAGGAGGCTGCTGCTGTCACCATGCTGATCAGAGCTGGGCAAAAAACTCCCAGTAAAACACTTATTCATGTCATAGTCACTTGCCTTCAGGTCTCTTCCTCCAGCAGTAGATGAAGGCCTATCAATGGAGCTGTGATAGAAAATACTGACTTAACACAGAAACTTAGGGCCAGCTTTGAACAAAAAGGGTTCAGTTTCCAGTACCACCTACTGAAGACAACAGATGCTGTTATGTTCTGAGTACATTAGAACAGGGGTGGCCAACCTGCCGCTCGCAAGCTGCATGCGGCTCTTCAAAGGAAAAATTGTGGCGTCTGCACCCGCGGCTCTTCTCATGGTCTCCTGCTCTGACCCTTTTTCCTCGTTTGGGTAGGGCACTGCTTGGCGCAGTGAGATCTGATGCTGCAGCCAATGGAAGCCTGCTTGGGCCACACACAGCTCTGAAAGGGGCAGCTTTTCTTGGGTTTTTTTGCTCAACAACTTCTTTCCCTTGGCTCTTTGCACTGTATCCACCACTGTTTTGATTCTTCATCTGTAACAGGTTGGCCACCTCTGCTTTAGAAACTTAGCCATAAATGCTCTGCTCCCTTCAGTAGAAGATTCCCTTTAAGAAGGGCATGACTATTGGTACAAGTGAAGCCTTCTCATTCCTTTTTTTTTAAGCTGATAGCTGGTTCCTACCTCCCATGTCATCCAACAGCCCCTGAGCTGAGCTCAGAAACTAGGAGCTATAGGGTTTCGGGCCTTGCTGGGCTCTCTTCATAAGTTGGAGGATAGTTCTTATCACTAGAATGAGTTTCTCATGGAGTCACCTCTTCCTCTGCAGAATCCAACCTGGGTCTGGAGATCAGCATCCATTGTCCATGTCACACTTTTCAGCCCAATGGGGACATCTTGGAGACCTATCACGAAGTGCTGGAGGTCAAGTTCAAAGGTGACAAGGGTTGGAGAAACTTCATGGGAGAGGGGAGCATGGAGCAGTTGCCAAGAAGAACTGAACCTCCATCTTTATCTGAATGTTCAAATATTTATACCAATGGAACCCCGTATAGATATGGGCTTGCATGTGGATTGTTTTAATGTATGAATACAGTGTTTAGATGTGGGTGTTTCAGGTAAGTGCATGAGTGTATGTGTGTGTGTGCAGAAAGAGGTAATTTTGTGCGGGTGTTTCAGGTAAGTGCATGAGTGTATGTGTGTGTGTGTGCAGAAAGAGGTATTTTTGTGTTGTAACCTCTCTGGGAAGCTTGACTCTGGTGAGATTCTGTTTTTCGCTCTGGTTTTCAGATCGGGTGGCTGAAGCACCAGGAGTCGGACATCCTGCCTGAGGTGGCAGAGAGAGAGACAGTGGCTTGGCTGGGTTAAGAACTAGGAATCTCTTGGCTCTCAGCCCTGGGCTGTAGCCATTAGCCCCCACCATCTCCATTTCCGAGGCTATTTCTGAGGAGTGCCAGTGATCTGACATCATTAAACCATTCATCTTTCTGCCTGTCCTGGGACTGAAGCCAAAAGAGAGGGGGACTGATTAACAGCCCCACCAGCAGTTTGCAAACAGTAAAACAAGTGGTTTGCAAGCCTCTGTTTCAGGCCATTGGCAACCATATTCACCCAGGTCAAGTCAGGGGTCCAGTTTGGGAGCAGTCTGGGAAGAAGTCCAGGAGTCAATGTAACGGAAATTGATCCCTTTCTCTTTAGATTAGGAGTGGAAGCAAGCATTGCACAGTCCTGTCTAGGCTGCTGAAAGGTCGTCTGGGGTCTCTCTCCACACCTTCCTTGATCCATACACTCCCTATTTCTGCTTTAAGGCAAACCTTTTCAGAAGGACTCCTTTTTCTGTTCTCAGGCATTGACAGTGAGGATGACTATGGGCGTGGGGACTTGGGCCGGCTGAAGAAGCAGAAGGACCTTCACAACCCTCATCTGATTTTGATGATGCTACCCCCACATCGGCTTGAGAGTCCAGCTCTGGGAGGCCAAAGGAAGAAACGAGCCCTGGATACTAATTACTGCTTCCGGTAAGCAAGGACCATGTCTACTCCTGATATTATTCTGCCCCATCCATCAAGCAGCAACAGGATCACCTGTGCTGGGTTGGCTGCGGTTTCTTCTGCCAGATGGCATGGAAATATCTGGAAGCTTCCTGCAAGGTCCTCAGATATTTGTGAATAGTGTACTTACCCAGCCCTCTTAAGGGCAGAACTGTGCTGCTCCTTCTTCCCAGAACAAGAACTCCAAGATGTTTGGGGTTCTAGGAGAACCTGACACAGATCAGAAAAGCGGCCCCACTACTGCAGCTGAGCTCCTAGCCATTGAGTGTGACCGATGGGAACTTGAACTCTCTCCTGCAGGACACATGTGAGCGATCAGTCTGAGCTGGGACGTACTGTGTCACCCAACCAAGGCTGGGTTTTTTGATAGCTATTTTGGAGATTGCTGAGCAGGGTGTTGCCTACTCTTGGGCATTATGGTTTGTTTCTGATGTTCCACTTCTGCTTTTAAAAGAAATTGGCATATGTATCCAGGCTCTTCCCCTTGCCTACATGCATTGGTGGGAGGACGTTAGCACTCCCATATTGGCAGACTACCTCTTCTTTTTCTACTCCCGGCTCTGCTTGTTGTAGCCATGCAGCTTGGTCACATAAAACTCTGTTTCTCCCAGACATACTTGCTACTAGCACAGGACCCCAGCCACACAGTCAGAGCAGGCATGGAGACAATAGCTCCCTCTGCTCAAAAGATTTATTTTTTCAATGGGGTGTGAAGGCCTTGAGTCATGTGGTGTCTCTCCTATTTTCTTGGATTCACTCTGTGCCAACATTTTGTGTCAGGAACTTGGAGGAGAACTGCTGCGTGCGTCCTCTCTACATCGATTTCCGACAGGACCTGGGTTGGAAATGGGTCCATGAGCCTAAGGGCTACTTCGCCAACTTCTGCTCAGGCCCTTGCCCATACCTCCGCAGTGCAGACACCACCCACAGCACGGTAGGGCAGGCATTTGATACTGATGGGGCGTCTAATGGCTGTGACTTTTTTTGGCAGTGGTGGGTGGGTTATAGATGGTTTAACACTAAATGTTTGTGTCAAGTTTCAACTCCAGTAATTACATTCTGCTTTCCTAAGCTCCTCCTACAGTTTCCACTGGATATAGGGTTCTTTTGCACTTTGTTGTAAACAGTCACCGAACACTGCTGGGCACGTGTAAACAGCTGCTGCCTAATACCCCAGTGATGCATGAAGTGAATGCTATGCATTCCCGGCATGGGTGAAGTGGCTTTGTGTGTAGATACTAGACGATGTATTCCACCTCCTGCACCACTACTGCATTGTGGAGAGGAGCCAATCCATTCACAAAGGCCATGGCATGAAACAGGGGAAGGTGGCTACATGAGAATTTGCCTCTTGGCAGAGGCATCTTTCCTCACTGCAGGACACCTGCGTGACCCATTGGCCTCATGGAGGAAGGGTCTAGGGCTGGGAGTGAAGCCCACTAAGCAGAAGGTTAATGCCTCTAGGGTCACCCTTCTGGGTAATCCACTCGTGATGACCCTAGGACATGATCAGTTCTTGACTAGAACATCACGTTGGGACTAGGCAGAGTCCCAAAGATTAAATAGCTACAAGAAAAGGGAGACGTGTCAGGGGCTGTGTGCAAGAGGATGGTGAAGTTAGGGCCACTGAGCCTGCAAAAGGGAACAAAACAAACCAAAATACAGGGGTTGTGTCTGCTCAGGGAATGGAGACAGCAGCAGAACAGAGAAAAGGCAGAATTGCTCACTAGCTACTTTGCTTCAAGTTTCACTAAAAAGACCACTGGTAACTATCGTTGCTTTGAGTATCCTGTTGGGTTGGCAGGGGAGGGATCGTAGGAAGCAGGTTACAGCTGTCTTGATTGAGCACATGCACGTCAGGAAAGCCTGACAGAGCTGTAGGGCTAACAGTAGTGGGAATCCTGGAACTGGGGAAATGACTAGAGAACAAATACTGGCAGCAGGGTAAAGGGCATGGCAGATAGAATCAATGGCTTCACGGGGATGAGACCAAGATACCCCAAAAGACCAGTGTATGTGGAGGGTGGCCACGTTCTATTAGGCAGCTTTATCAAAGTTAGCAGGGCTGAATCAGTGTAAATGCAAAGAGAATTTGGTCTGGTTCCTATTTTTGAAGGAAGATGGAAAAAGCAGGAAATTAGTGACCAACAAAATTAATTACAATTAGGTCAGTTAGAGTGGCTGCTGGTCAGCAGCTCCTAAGGGCAAATACCATGAGAAACAAGACTGCTCACAAATAATCACTTTGAGCCAGCTTCACTTGTCTCAGGGGTATGCAGCATTTTGAGATATGGGGAGGAGGGTGTCCCAGAGGGAAGCTAAAACAATGTGGATTTTATGGATCTATATAATAAAATAGGATTTTCCATAGTATTATTCAGCACCCCAAGGAATACTAGGACTATGGGCCAAACTTTCATTTAAAATAGGGCCAACTCCAGTGTAGTCAATGGGACTGGACTGGGGTAGGTGAGAGGCAGATTTTCACCTTGTAAATCTAGGTAACCCACTGCTGAAATGCAGCCACCTTTGAGAGAAACATGGCAAATGCTAAAAGACAGTTGTGTGACTCGAGTGTATAATCATCAGTAGTTGAGAGGAGGAATCCAGTGGGGTCCCACAGGACTCTGTTCTGGCTCTAATACTATATTGTAATGACAACGGATGGTTCTAAGCTGGGGGGGAATGGTGGATACTTGAGAAGGCTGGATTAAATCCAGTACTATCTGGAGAACTTGGCAGAAATCAGCAAGACTGATTTTTTCAGCTGCTTTTTATGGAGCCCAGCACAACATGGCCCCAGGCTAGTCACACCCTGCTTTGTCAAAAGCATATGTTTTTACACCATCAGCCATGCCAATACAAAGCTGAGAAGATGGATTAGTTTTTACTCAGGCTGCATTTGCGCTCTATAGATTAAATATCAGTTAATTGAATAGTCGATTAACCTCATGAATTTTTATCAGTTACTCAGCTATTCTATAGTCCCCGGGGATGGGGCCGGCAGCCAGTGTGCACCAGCCCATTCCCAAGGAGACCCCTGCAATTCCGCACTGCTACCTCTTATACAGAGGCAGTAGCATTGGGAGTCAGGCGGGAGCTTGTCCACCAGGGGAACCTGTTTAAAAACCAACTCCCCTCACAGACCAGCTGCCTGTCACCCCATGCTGCTGCCTCTGATAAAGAGGCAGCAGTGCAGGATGGCAGCAGCCCTTGTCCAGGGCAGGGGGGAGGAGGCTGAGTTTCCAGACCTGGCATGAGCTGGGCTGCCTGCCTAGTTCCTAATACACTTTAAATGCAGAGCCACAGCGGGGGTAGGTTGCAGACCCAGCATGAGCCAGAGCTGAGCTGGGCTGCTGGCCAGCCTGCTAAAAAAATTACTGGTGGGGGGTAAGGGGGAATGCATGTAGTCTATATCATTAACCTGCAAGCTTTTGTTTATCAGTTAATTGACTACACTATTACATCCCTACTATAGGCCACTTGCTCCAATTATCAGCTACAGAGTAAATAGAGTTGGCAATAAATGAAGGCTCATTCAGGACTAGGCAGATTAGAAACTTTCAATGCAGGCACTATTTTGGGGCAAACCTATTGGAAAGTGTCCCTGCCAGTCAGTCAAGTACTATTGTGTTGAGTGATATAAATGCCTAGAGACCAGCTCTGCTGATTCCACTGGACTAGAAAAGCATCATGGGACAGCCCCAGTAGCCTCATGTACTTCCAGCCAAGTTCCTACATGTGTGTTTGTTTCCACAGGTGCTGGGCCTGTACAACACGCTGAATCCTGAGGCATCTGCCTCCCCCTGCTGTGTCCCCCAAGACCTGGAGCCCCTCACCATCCTGTACTATGTGGGGAGGACCCCCAAAGTGGAGCAGCTTTCCAACATGGTGGTGAAATCCTGCAAGTGCAGCTGAAAGGCACCATGCCCCCATCAAAGCTGAGAGAGAAAAACTGTAACCACCTGTTTGCCAGCTGCCAGAGTAACATGAAGGGAACAAGGAGGCCAGAGACTTGAGCACACTGAGACCTGGACTCCTAACTATGCAGCTCAGGACATATCACCCACTTTGGGGATCCCTTTGGAAACATTTATTTTCTGTCTGGGTGGTTCAGTGACCTTCTTTCCAAGAGGCACTCTGATGACATGAAGACAACACACTCCGGAATGTCTGGACATTTGGTAGGAAGTGAGGGGGCACTGAATGGAGAAACTGCACTGTGTTTGGAGGCAGGGGATAGTTTAGAATGAGAAGCATGATGAACATGGAGGAAAGGGGAAGGGAGGTGGGACAGTCCTTCCTGTTCCAGCTATATTGGGACCCTAGCCCAACCTCTGTCCTGAAGAATGAGGATTTCCTTATGAAGGAACAAACAAGATTTATTAAAAAAAAAGTCACCAAGAAGGGGAGCTGAGACACACACTTAGGCTCTTACTGCCTCAGAGCTGGGATGCAGGAGTCCCACAAATTATACCATGTCCATTCTGTAGCTCCTGAGTACTGAGGCTAAACCCAAATCACAAGCCCCACATTCAAGGTACTCAGGATGGGCTGATTTGAGAAGAGGAGGGGAAGGGAGGGTGCGCTGATTCCATTCACAGAAGGTTTGATGTTCTGCATTTCCTTTTTAGGCGGGTCCCCTCCCTTCCCTGGAGGTCCTGCTACATAGTTTTTGGGTTAGCGTGTGCACTGTTTCTCCTGTGAGTACCAGATTTGGAACCATCCAGTCTTGGATTATCTCTCTCCCTTTTCCCCCTCCATGTTTGTTGCGGTGTGTGAGGTGCCTTAGGGAATTCTGCATCTCTCTTGCACAAGAACCTAGCCCAGGTCTCACCAGCCAAGGTTTTAAAAAAATTATTAATCTCAAAACCATTGTAAAAAATAAATATTTTGGGGGGAAATAGAATTTTCTGACTAGGAGTGTTATTTGCTAAGAGGTTAGAGATTGTCATTTCAGAATTCTGCTCTAGCTGCAACATAGCTTAGGGTGACTGCAAGATCTGTCCCCCATCCAGAAACCCTGGGCCCATTCTCAGTGGGAAGATAGAGCACTACAGCTAGCTAGAGAATTACAAGATGTGATCATGCCAGAAAGCTCTTTTTCCTTCCTTTGCCAAATACAACTGTCAGCCAGGTCAAGATCCATGCAGTCCATCCAAATGGTACTAGTTCTGCATGTGTCCATCTGGTCTAGGTTCTTTGATATGCAATCACTTCTGTCAGGTGCTGTCAAACAGACACACCCTCTCTTTCAATAAAAAAACAAATGGATAGAGTCCAACACATAGGGCAGTGCAGTTCTAGATAGCCTGCTACAGAATACACTATAGTCACCATGGCTTAGATTCACATGTTTAGTTAGACATGCTTTTGAGTGTAGTCTGCCAACTGAGAAAACAAGAAGGTAACAGTTTGACAAATGGGCACTGAGAGAGTGCATTCTCTGCCTTCGTGGGCCCCATGATTTCAGGCAGACTGCTTGACTCAGAGACTCACAACTGCCTTCAGTTCAGACATTTTCTCCATGGCCTCAAACTTGCTATTTAATTAACCACCTTCTTCATTGGCCAGCATGGGGCAACGAGAGGAGAACCGTCCCCATAGTCTCTGCTGCTCTTCCTAATGGATCAGGGACAGGCCATACCCCTTGCCAAAGTATACCTTTCCCTCTGGTGTGTCTTACTCTCCAGGTCAACTCTCCTGAGGCAAGTAGGGAATTTGAGAAATGGCAGGAACCAGTCCTACTCCAGGTTCCAACCCAGAGAATACCAGCTATCTGCAATATATCCTGAACCAGCTGTGATAATTATGATTTCCTGGGTCATTTCCCCAGAGCCTCCCCTAGCACCTTTTTTATTGTTATCACAGAACCTTCCTGCTGGTACCTGACAGCATTTGTAATGCCTAGACCTCCAGCTACGCATTTCTACAAGCTCCTTGAGTGCTCTGAACTGAAAGGAAGTCCTTTTAACCAGTACTAGCTAGTTTTTAATTGGCTCCACCTAGTCCTGATTAGCCTGTTTTAATTGATTCCAACAAATTCTTGATTGGCTCCAGGCATCTTAATTGGCCTGTATGCCTTGATTGGTTGTAACAAGTTCCTTATTGGCTTCAGGTGATTTGGTTGCACTGAAGTAGCTCCTTCTAGCTTACCTGCAGAAAAGGGACTTGTTTTACCTGGGGCTAATATACCTGCCTTCCATCACAATCATGTAGGCTACATCTAGACTAGCATGATTTTCCGCAAATGCTTTTAATGGAAAACTTTTCCGTTAAAAGCATTTGCGGAAAAGTGTGTCTAGATTGGCACAGACGCTTTTCCACAAAAGCACTTTTTGCGGAAAAGCGTCCATGCCAATCTAGACACGCTTTAGCGCAAAATGCCCTGATTGCCATTTTCACGATCGGGGCTTTTTTGCGCAAAACAAATCTGAGCTGTCTACACTGGCCCTTTTGCGCAAAAGAACTTTTGCCAGAACAGGAGCAGCATAATATTTCCGCAAGAAGCACTGATTTCTTACATGAGATTGTCAGTGTTCTTGCGGAAATTCAAGGTAGACAGCTGGCAAGTTTTTCTGCAAAAGCAGCTGCTTTTGCGGAAAAACTTGCCAGTCTAGACACAGCCGTAGGGTTTACCTCAACCAGTTACTGTGAGAAGGTGCAACCCGCCCCTCATCCCTGGCCCTCCAGATCTCTCCATCGGCCCCCGACCTCATGTGCCTTCCCAACCACCTCCCTGGCTGAGGGAGGGGCCTGTGACTGCGGGGCCTATTTTCACTCCTTTATCTGTTTATGCAGCTGGGTTGAGTTCCACTGGGCAGCGTCTGCTGGCTCTCTTGAGGCCTTTGAGGAGCAGTGGGTGCTGTCCAGGATTCTCTGCTCAGTGTCCCCATCCAGCTCCCTCATTTTAGCCCTTTGACCTCCACACCTGTCCCTGTTTTCCTCTTTGTCCCCCATAATTAGTGTTCTGGGCTCTGTGAACCCTCCCTGCTGGCTGGGGGAAGGTCCTTTAGATGTGGCTGGGCTTATGCCCACCCACCTCTCGAACTCTAGTAGGACCACAATCCTGTAGCCATCCAGCCTGACTTTTTTACAGCACAGACATGTATTGTTTCCAGGCATAGACTTGCACACATGTAAATACCAAAGAAATTGTCCCAGACACATTCAGACAGCTTAAGTTTGCCAAATCTAGCTACCCAGTTCTACTGTACAGTCTCACAGACATGCTCAAGGCAAGATATAGCACCCAATGCTCTCCTCACTGAGTCCCCCAAAGAGAAGTCATGGTCAGGCCCGGCCCTAGGACAAGGTGAGCAAGGCAAATGCCTTGGGCCACATGCATTCGGGGCCCCATGCTGCTGAGTATTCACCATCTACCGTCCGGGGCCTCACTCCCAGCGTCCTGCCTTGGGCCCGGCAAACCATTTGGCCGGGCCTGGGCACGGTATTCCAGATATAGAAACACTGTCTCCTGCATGTGGACATTTCTAGAAAGGGTGAGTTTCTTAAAAAGACCACTCCAACAGAGTCATGCATGCACAGACCGCTCACTCAGAAAGCCAGTTAGTTATGTTCTTAAGGCTATAGGACATACTAGCTCACCCCCAACAAATTTAGTGCAAAATGATGCTCGGCTGGCAGTCCATATTCACCTGCAGCCAGGCTTCCACGTGGGCCTCTTCTTGTGGTGTAGTGCTTCCATCAGGTTCCGGTCTGGTCCTCCTCTTTCAAAAAGCAGGCCACTGCTGCTCACCTCATTACGGTACTGCCTCAACACACAATTCCTAACATTTTTATAAGCCAGGAAAGAAATCTAGATTTTTAGCTGGCAACTGGCTGGCTGCCCTTTTGGCCAGGATCCTGCAACAAAGGAACACCAACTCTGATAAAAGGGCCCTTCCCATTCACTGCCTAACTTCTTTATCCCTTTCATTTTTCTTCAGGTCTCCTTGACCTGTATTCACTTGAGATGAAACTAGCAGCTCTGCCCTGCCTTGCAGCAACCATTTATTACTAGGTATAATTTAACCCTTTAGTGAAAAAGGAGCTCCTCGGGCTGGTGTCTTCTCCACTGAAAGATGTGTGAGGGAGTACACCGTGATTAAAGAACATGCTGACGGATATGCTATAAATGTCTGGTTAGATAGATGGGGGAATCCAGATGCCAGCTGGCAAAGGAATCCTCTTTAATCTCTTAGCAGCAGCCCCCGGGAAGGTTTTAGTTTACAAGTTAGAGCTTACTCTCTGGTTATCATTCCTCTGACCCTGGGACTGGCCCCATTCAATGCAAAGGGATCCCTTTCTCTAAAAAACTGGGAGGCTACAAAGGGCAGCACTAGAGCACTTCTAATACTTGACATTTCCAGTACTTCAAAAACATTCACCAAACTAATGCTGGCAAATGGAAAAACTTAAGGTCCAGAAAAGGGAGATGACTTGTCCAATGCCATAAAGCAGGGGTGGGGAAACTTTTTTGGGTTGGGGGCCACTGACCCCCCCAAAAAAATCATTTGGGGACCACACAAGTGAGAAGCAAAGAAAATAAACCCCAAACCCTCACTGACATGGCCCCCTAATGAGGAGAAAAACTCTCTCCACATTCCCCTTACACACCAGAATCTAGGGAGCCCAGAATAGTAGATTTTGTGTGCTCCAGCCCCGCAGGGGATGGTAGAGGGGCTGGAGAGCCACTGCAGGTTCCTCAATGCTGGGCAGGAACCCTGAGCACTGGGAGGCAGATCCAGGCAAGCTAGGGGCCTGCGTCTGGCCCCAGGGCCTTAGGTTCTCCACCCTTGCCATAGAGGGTGCTAGTGGCAAAGAATTAAAATTTAGGAGTTTCTGACCCCAGTTTGGCCTGCAGACCACTAGACTCTCACCTTTCCACATTCTATCTGGGCAGCTGCTTTCTGGAAGAACAGGCTGAGTCAAGAGTGGTATAGTTGACTTAGGGATTAAATAATAGGCCTGGGAGAGAGAGAAACTGGCTTGTATTCTGCTACTCATTTGCCGTGTGATCCTAGACAATTCTCCCCAGTCTGGGCCTTGGCTTCCCTGTCTGTAAATACAGACTGAGGTGTAGTCTTACAGGGCCGTTTGGTTACAGATCAGCAGTGAGACAAACCAACAACACTCTAGTTAATGGCAAGTTGAATAGATGCCTGAGCCTAGAACCAGCAGCAGGTTGTTTCAGAATAATTGGGGGAAGGGGGTAGGAAAGGAGGACAAAAGCAGAAAGCTGTTCCTTGTGTGGTCTGCTACAATGGGGAAAGCAAGTGTGGACCGTAGGAAAGCAGACAGAAGCTGCCTGTACTGAATACACGCTTAATGCCTTTCCTACCAGGAGCAAACCGAGATAGGATCAAATGATACCAACATAATCAGTTAGCTCAGATTACAGATCCTGCTTTCATAAGCGTACAAGACAGGAAGAAGAGAGTACTCTGCACTTCCATATGGGAGACCATTGTGATGAGTACAAGAACCTTTACAGAATAAACTGTTCCAGATCCTTGCTCTCTCTGCTACTGACTGTGCTCTGCATTGGACCTAGCTATTCAACAGGCACACTGGAAACCAGTGTACCATCCCTCCCCCATGTGTCTGAACTAGAGCGTGCTGCTTCCCCCATTCTGGTCTCCTGCCAAGAGACCTCAGTGGACAAAGGAAAAGAGATTACCTAAAAGGAAGAAGGAATAAAAGGCATAAATTCACACAGACCTTTGACTGTTTCACTGAAAACAGGATTAGCTTTGCTCCAACCCATTAAGTCTCAAACCTCTCTCACTTTTCTTTGTCGCATTTGACATCTTCCATGCTTCAAGTTTACAAATCCCTTTCTGGACTTTCTTAGTCTGCCACAAAACTGTCTTGTGCCTGCCTGAGGTAATCATCCCATCAGAAGCAGAGAATACAGGTGGCTTCCAACCATCACTTGGATTGCAGACCAAAACAGCCAAGGCCTCCCAGGGGATTTCTCTGTTGCCAATGGTTTATGACCACAAGTTCTGATGGTGGAGCCGGGTTCTCACTGCAGGACAGATTCCATAGCACTAAAAGAACTGGAGACCATTCTAGGGGCAGTTTTGCCATACAGAAAAGGTTACTTGCCTATTAAAAGGATATCTCCAACAGGAAGCTCCTGGAATCTGCATAAAGGGGCCCACCTCTCTCCATCACCTCTCCACAGGTACTGTTAGGCAGAAGGATGGCTCAGAGAAAAATTCAAAAGGTCCTTGATACTAGTACACATGGAGACCAGGAGGGTGACTTCCTCAATCCACTCTCAGTTCAGAACAACAGTAACTGAGAAGGCTCCTAGCTGACAAGAGGTCTAGGAACCCCTGTGAATGATCTTTACATAGCAGCACCAATTAGACAAATTAGGGAGTGGACTCAGAAAAACTCATTGACTCAGAAAAACTTGTACACCTGAACCTCTTTAATCCAGCAAGTCTGGGAAACATGATATGACAGATTAAAGGGGTTTTTTTTTTGGACCCTGGGAGGGTGCTGGGGTAAACTCTGGTAGGAAGGGAGGGTGCGTAAGGGGGATGGGACACATGTGGCTCCATGCACTGCCCCCTGCTTCTGGGGGGAAGATAGTGCAGCTGCACACACAATTGCTTCCTCTGCCCCCTGCCAGGGTCTCAACCACAGATGTTCCTGGATAGGCGGTAACAAAATTAGGGAGCTTCAGGTGTATTAGAAATTTAATTTGGAGCCCTTAGAATGGGTTGCCCACAAGCTGACTAAAAGGAGTCACTAACATGGTTAGTAAAGGAGCTGCTGGGCTTCCAGGTGGCTGCTTTGCAAATCTCTTCTATAGTTTCCATTCCACTTTCTCTCCAGGAAGCAACCTGAGCCCTTGCGCAATGGACTATTACAAAGGACCCCTTCTCAGAATGATGCTTTAAGATCAGGGGAGCAAATTATTGGAGAAGTCAATACTTCACAAGCTGCTTTGTATTTCTGTGCTGCTGCAGAACCCACAGAAGAATCAGCTAATGTAACAGATTTCTGTTTTTTCTAAGTAAAATGTATGAAGTTTCAGGTCATGTTGCTCAAGTGTAGGATCCTTTCTTTGTCACATTCTGAGTTACTGTGAAGGAAAGGAGACAGGAGATACCTTTCACTCAGTGTGAAAGCTGGGATTTGTCTTTGGAATGCAGCAGAGCTCAGGAAAAAAGGCAGCACATTCAAAATGGCAACAAGTGGTT